GGCCTGAGGGCAGTGTCAGAGGATGAACTAGGCAGTGTGACCCCTCTCTGCCCACGTTCTCATTCTGGCTTCCTTTCCAACTTCAACAAAGCAGGGCATGCTCTTAGTTGGTGGGCTCACTTAGCCAGGGACTGCAGTGATATGGTTTCCCCACTCACCCATGGAGCACCAACAGTATACCAGGCACTGAACTGGGCATTGGGACCTCCCAGAGCAGGCTTAGTGATGAGCACATGGTTGCCCAATGGCCTTTTGAAGAGTAGTAATGGACATGGCTCTGGAAACCAGCTTGCCTGGGGTTTAGGCTACACCACTCACTAGCTGTGCATCCTTGGGCAAATTGTTTACCTCCTCTGAGCCTTAGCTTTCTTATTTGTCAAAAGAGGTCAGCAGGACACCAAGAAAAGTTGCCCTAAGAGGTGGGGTAATGCATGTCAAAAGCGTATTTCCTCGGTGGTTCACAAACTCACTGTACCTCAGTTTTCTCATCTGTAGGATGATGAGGCAGCTGTTAGATGTTGGGGTTTTGTGAGAATTAGTGAGTTAATACACGGAAGGTGCTTAGAGCCATACATACCACATAATGCACACTAGAAAGTGCCATGATATGATTATTGGTATTTTCCTTTCTCCATTTTATCATCTGTTCATCTATCTGTCACCTATCATCTATCATCTATCTCTAGACTTTACTGGACTGTCACCAGTGTTTCCACCCCTGCCCTCTCTCTGTTCCAGGATCCCACATGACACCAGACCATCATGTCTCCTCAGCTCTGTGATGGACCGAACATCTTTTTGATATTTGTGACCCTCATAGTTTTGAGGAGTATTGGTCAGGTGTTTTGTGGGGTGTCCCCACTCGGGGTCTGTCTGATGTTCTTCTCGTGGTTAGATGGGTATATGGGTTCAGGAGGGGAACACACAGAGGGCAAGTGCCCTTCTCATAACAGCTCCAATGCTGTCTTAATGGGAATAAATTCTTTGTGTCCCTTTGTTTGGATTTTCCTTTGGAGCAGGGGGCGGGGAGGCTGAAAGCATCACTCAGCCAACTTAAGCTAAGACCTGCCCAGGTCAGTGGACTTGGACCATGACCTTAGGCAGGGGAGGTGACCAGACTGGTTGGCAGCAGGCAGAGCAGGACTTAAAATTCAGCATGAGCTGAGCCAGAGAGAAGGGAAGAAGGATTACATGGGAGCCCTTGGCATGGGCTAAGGATGCCCACAGGGCAGGCGGAAAGAGGAAAGAGCTGGAGGAAAGAGCTCAGGAACAGTTCTGGAAGGCAAGCCTCCCCTCTTGGCTGGACTGTCCTCAGGGCCCCCACTGGCTGAAGCCCCAAGACAGTGGCAGCAACCCCCATAGCACTACCAGCCTGAGCCTGAGGTGCAGGAGGACCTGGAGACATTCAGGCTTAGTTGCCCATTGCATGTGCCAGTGCAGCTGAGTCTTGGGAGCTGGGAGGACTTTCAGGAGCTGCTTATACTGCCTGGACAGAGGAGTGACTCCCAGCCTTTGAGGGACACAGAGGCAGTGTGAAAACAGAGCCAGCCCCTGATTGTCTCAGTGGAATCGCCTCAAAATGCCAACATCATGGGTAGCGGATAAGCTGTGCCTCTTTGTCTATACCCTTGATGGCTTTAGGCAGGAATTCCAAACCTGCCTGGGATATAGGCACAGCCGGCGGTGTGGAGCTGGGGGTATAGACATCCACCTTAGCTACACACCTGGTCCACCTGCCCTTGTTTGGACCCAAGCTCTTCTGGTTTCTGTGTCTGTCTCTTCCTTCCAGCTTCCTCCTTTCCCACCAAGTCTTTTCCACCAAGACTTCAGGTTGGGAAGTCTTGGTGATGTCAATCTTTAGGTCCCCGACAGTTCTCTAAAGACTTTGAACCCAGGGTCAGAAGATTGGCCAGGGATTTTGGCCAGGGAACAAGCATAGACAAGTCATTGGTTCATTCAGACTCAGTTTTCTCATCTGTACAATGGGAGAGATGAGATTCAATTATTTTCTTTATTTCTCTTTCACAAATTTACATTCATTGCATGTACTAATAATCTATGTTGATTACTATACACATTGTAGAGAGAGATTATTATATATAATCAATAATCTATTAAATTAACAAAAATCCAAGATAAAAGTCTCCCATGATCTATCCTGAAATGACATTGATATTTGTGCTGATTTCTGACACTATTTCTTGCCCAAGACATATTATTTTAAAAGTCATATCACAAATAGGAACTTATAGGTAGCACCTGTGGCTCAGTGAGTAGGGCGCCGGCCCCATATACTGAGGTGGTGGGTTCAAACCCGGCCCCGGCCAAACTGCAACACAAAATAGCCAGGCGCTGTGGCGGGCACCTGTGGTCCCAGCTACTCGGGAGGCTGAGGCAAGAGAATTGCCTAAGCCCAAGAGGTGGAGTTGCTGTGAGCTATGACGCCACAGTACTCTACTAAAGTGAGACTCTGTCTCTAAAAAAAAAAAATAGGAATTTATATTTCACATTTTCGATTAACATGACACCAAACTTTGTTTTTCCTTATCCTTTTTCTACCTCCACCCTCTTTGTCCCACTCTTGCCTGCTGAGGTGGCCAGTGTCAGCAGCTTAGTTAGTGTTCACCGAGAAATACAGTGCACACGGATAGAATCTGCATTTGGGGGGGGCATCGTTTATTGTATGAAATTGGGACCATCCTATATCTATTTCTCCATGACTTACTGTTCTAAGGTGACCACATAGTGTGAAAATCCTTCTAGGCAGAGAGACAGAGTACTGAGTGATTCTTCGTAATAGGTGCAGAATTCCCTGGCATGGGTGAAGATCTCACGCCTTATCTAACCACTCCCCAAGTGATGGGGACTCAGGTTGTTTCCACTTGTCCCTCTCATACCTCTATGAACATCTCTGCAAGTATAAAATCCCAGAGGCGGGATTACTGGATTGAAAATGTGTTCTTTTAAATTCCCCAAAACAGCGGTAAAAACTCACATCTACACAGGTGACAGATGAGGGCACCTGTGTCCCTACATCCTCCCCAGCACTTGTAGTTATCGGGTTTTTCCATGTTTGCCAACTGACAGATGAGAGATGGCATCTCAGTGTTTCTTTAATTTGCGTCTTCCCGCTTACTAGAATCTTTCCATGAATTGTCTATCTCTTTGGATTTCTTCTATCAACTGCCATTCATCTCTGTAGCCTATTTTTCCTGCTGGGTTTGTCTTTGCATTATGAATTTGCTGAGGCTCAGAGTTGGGTATTAACTTGCCTTTTGGCATAGGTGTTGCAAATATCTTTTCCCAGCCTCTCATTGGTCTTTTGGACTTATTAGGGCAGGTGTCCTCAAACTACAGCCCATGGGCCACATGCAGCCCGCCTAGGACATTTATCCAGCCTACTGGGTGTTTTTGCTGCTGCTGCCTGTCCTGCTTAGCAGCCAACTCATCCTGAGGCCTGCAGTCTGGCCCTCCAACGTTCTGAGGGATAGTGAACTGGCCCCCTGCTTAAAAAGTTTGAGGACCCCTGTTAGGGTATCTTTTTCCATACAAGAAGTTCTCACATTCTGTGTAGTCACGCATGTTTATTTTCCTAATTGTCTTTCCAGTTTCCTGTTTTGTTTTTAAAAATCTACCCCAACACATCAGCTATAATACTAAATTTCCTTCTGAAATTTTCCTAGTTTTATTTTATTTAAACATAATTGCTCTGGAATGATTTTTTGTTCAATTAAGGTGGTTTCCAATGCTGGTTCTTCCAGGGGGATAGCACAACTCAGAGTTTCTGGCCTTACTGACTGTCGGTCCCCAAGAGGAGCTTGGAAGGTGGCTCCTAGGTTTGGATCTGGGAGATTTGGAAAGTGGCATAGACTCCCCATTCCCCAACCAGGGAGCTGTTCTGCTTTTGTTGTTTTACAAAATACCTTTTCAGCTAAGATCTGGTTTGGACAAAGTGTTCTGAAGCTAAAGGAATTTTGAAAATCCCTTTCAGATGATCCCTGGGGGACTCTTCCAGGTTTGACATTCTCTGAATGGATAATGCCCAGGACAGCAATTGCTTATTAAGGAGGAGAAGGCAATGGATCGACAGAACTTTATCCAAAAGTAATTTCAATATTAAATCCCAGATTGGCTCAAAGTGGATATTAGAATCACAGCATTTTAGAGGTGGAAGGGACCTTGGAAATCCTCTAGTCTCCTGCCTCTTAATCCTGCCTGCCTTTGGAATCACCTGGGAGGTTTTTTGGAAAGTCCTGGTGCCCTGGACTCATTCCAGACCAGACTCAGAGTCGGGAGAGGGGGAGAGAAGCCCAGGCATCAGTATTTTTAAGAATCTCCTGGTGATTCTAATATGCAGCTAAGGATGAGAACTACGTCTAGGGTTCAACTCCTGCATTTCATTAGTGAGTAAATTGAGGCCCAGAAGCAGTGAACTATGATGACGCAGCAGACAAGCTATGGAGTTGGGACTAGAGCCCAGACCTCTGCCTCCTGGGTTAGCCTTGTCATCTACATCAAACAAATCACTCATCAAGCACCACACTTCAGAGTTTTAGTTGGCCACACTGAGGTCCCTGTACGAATGCTTTTGTATCTACAATCAGCTTTAAAATGTTCCCTGCATGCATTTCTGTGCATCCTGGATGAATAGACCTGGTTCTGCCTTGTAGGACCTTAGAGTGACACAGGGTCATAAAGAACGGTGAGAAGAGACACAGCAAGACAAATGGTAAATCCACAAGTCAGAGCCTCCTGCAAGGACGGAGGTGCAAGAGCAGGAAGAGGGAGTTAACCAGGGAGGGCAGGAGGGAGCATTTGAATTGGGCTAAGGGGTGATTCAAAAAGACTGATGGACAGAGAGTCAGTGCTTGCTCTTGCCTGGAGCAGCGTCTGGCTGCCTCAGTGTTCCACAGGGGCTCAGAAGGCAGGGGAGGGCAGCAAGATTTCAGGGCAGAGCAGCCTGGCCTGGCTCTAACCTTCTCCCTGTGCTCTGCCCGCAGGAATGAGACCGTGCTGCACCAGTTCTGCTGTCCAGCCGCCGATGCCGAGCAGAAGCCAGCCTGCTCCGACCTGGCCTCCCCAAGGTGGGAACTGCGCACCTCCCTCCCTCTGCACCCGCCCGCCTTCCTCACACCCAAAGCGCTATGTGGCCTCCTCCTGTTGAGTCTTCTGTGTTTGATTTCGCCTCCTTCCTTAGGCCCGCATCTCTCTTTCAGTCCTCTGGGCCCCAGATGAGCCTTTCTCAACATTTAAGGTCCCAATGTCCCACAGCTTTGGTCCCAAACCTGTTCACCTTCCTTCAAACAGCCCATGTAAAACACAATTATTGAAAGTAGCAAGGGAAATTAGTTCGGCTGTATCTGTTTATATCTGTCTCTCGGATGTGGGTGCTCAACCCGTTGTGACTGCCTTATTTTCCTCCTAGGTCCAGGATTTATACTTTCCTTTCCAATCTCTATGCTTCCATAGTGGGGCCAAAGTGATTCCCTGCGATGCCTTCCCAGGCCTGGCTGAGCTGCTGGCAGCTGGGAAGGGAGGGGGCAGGTGAGGGGTCAGCTTGTGGAGTCCCTGTGCTGAGGCTGTCCCTCTGGTTTGGGGGGTTATCTGTTCACCCTCATCCTCCTGCCTCCTGTCCTTGTGGTCCCTCCATCACGCAGTCAGCCTTCTCCCTCCACACTCATCTGTTTCTCTGCCCTCATCTCTCGCTTCCTCTCACCCTGGCCCACACCAATCCTGCCACCCTGATCTGTGGGTGCTGTCACTCTTTCTTGCTTTGTTCACTTCTCTTTTCCACAGTTTCTGCACATTTCTCTCTTCTTGACTAGTTCTTTACTTTGCTTGTTTCTGGCCTGAAACCTGCCCCCATCTCCAGTCTCCTGTTGTAGGAATGAATTTGGGTAAGTTCCTTAACTCCACTGGGCAGTCTCCTTATCTGTGTAATGAAGGGCTTGGACTGTCTAGAAAGTAGCATTTACAGATTATCTCACTGAGCCTCTCACCCGCACATTGAGGTCAGACCAGGCGAGTTTCATTAACCCCAACATTTGTGAGGGCAGAGTGAGGGTCAGAGGATTCAGGGACTGGTCCACAGTCACATGGAAAGCATCAGTGCCTGCACGTGAGCTCAGGGCATTTCACACTGAGCACCATTTTCTGAAAATCTGCACCATTTTCAGGTTTAAGATTCAATGGTTCTGTGACTTTGCCCTCTTTTGTCCAGGGGAAGTAACTAAATTGTAACCAGAAGTGGCGGCTACTACCTTGGGGTATAGAAAGCCACCCCCAAATGGCATCGCCACTCATTTCCCTTAAAGGGAAGCCAGTAGAGGTCAGCGAACGAGGCAGGACCCTGAGGAGGGGCTCTGGGAGTGGGCCCAAGAGAGGCTATGCACCTTACAGGGCCTTCAATCCAGAATGGGGGGTGGTGGTTTCTTGAGGCTGACCATGTTGAAGGCAGGGGGCAAAAGGGAAGACCGAGTGCAGTGCCGAAGCTTTGAGGACCACAGAGAACTCTGTGTCGAGTTTGGGGACATAGGGACGGATCAGGACCCTAGAGAAGCTCCCATCTAGTGAGAGATTAGGATACCCTCAAAGGGGAAATGATTCACAGAGAGACGACAAGGAAAAGACAAACGAGAGAATGAACCAGTAGAAGAGAAAAGGGAAGAGGCCAGCGTGGGGATCTAGAAGAGGGGGTGAAGTGGGGGTGACCCTGAAGGCCCTGGATGCATGCCATGAGCCGCCCCTGTTCAGACATAAAGCCATATCTCCTTCCTGGAAATGTCCTTCCTCAGCAGGGAGAAGGGAGAAAAGCTGCCCAGCCTGCCTCCCACCCCATCCCTTCAACTCAATCCAGGGAACATTTTATTAACCTTGAGCAAGCCCCAGGCTTCACTGGGAATGGACAGCATGCACCACGTGTGGTGGAGAAGCCCAGGCCTGGGTGGGGCCTGCAGCAGACTTCCCCCTTCCTGCTCCACTCTCGGCACTTGGCTGTGCTCTCTGCTCCCCTGACTCTGCCCCACAGGCTTGTGACCCAAATCCCTGGCTCTGGGTGGGAAGGGCTGGGAGAGACAAGGCCCCAGTGGCTCCCAGCAAGGAGGTAGCTGTGGGGCAGGGGTGGGTTTGGGGTAGAGGGTAGAAAACCCACCATCTTAGTTTCCAAGAGATTTGCTGTTTGCCTTCCCCTTGGAAGTGCAGGTGCTAAGTTGGGGGCTGGAGGTGCTCTGGGAGGAGAGGATGGAGGTGGGAGATTTCTTGAATGGTGGTTGGTGGAGGGGCCTATGCACACTGAGGGCTGGGTGAGGCAGGGAGACCTGCCCCCAGGTCCAGGGCTTCAGGGGCCATCTGGCTCTATTTCTCTGTTATTACAAGTTGTCCTGTCTCTCTAGTTGTGGTTCCTAGAGCTTACTTTTGTCTGTCTGTCTATCTGATGTCAGTTTCTCAGCCTTTCTGGAAGAAGACTGTCTGGATGTTTTCTGGACAGTCCACCAGAGTACATGTCAGTTGGTCTGTCTATTCTTGGCTTCTCAAGGGACATCATCCATCCTAAGATAAGTTTTCCCTGATTAGACTTGACATCCCTGCTCCCATCCCTGTATACAACCCCTTCAGGATCCCTCATCCCTTCCCCTGGCACAGGTGTCCCACCTCCACAGAGCATAGCCTAGACTTTCTGGTGAGTTCCTCTAGTAGATTATGTCCTAGTCAGAGAGCAGGATGAGGCTGGCACAGGGCGTGCAGGTCCCAAAGCCCTCAAGGCCAACCATATAGATCCTGGTCTCCTGTGAGACTCTGAGACAATCCAGACTCCTGCCCACTGGTCATTCTGCCTTCCCACCAGCTCAGCCAGCCTCCTCTATGAGTGTCTGGGATCAGCCACTCCACAGGAGACCACAGTGAGGAATCCAAAACCCATCAGACCTCAGGGCCTTGGGTGTGTAGACTCAGCCAACTCTGGGAACTCCCTCCACATCTTCCTCTGCTTCTGGCTGAGCCCAAGGCGGGGTGGGGGGGTGGGGTGGGGCAAGGTCAGCCCTTCATCTGTCTCCTTCCTACTCCATTCTAAGCCTTGAGGCTGAGCCAGGGTCCCTTTCCTGGTGCTGTCAGCCTCTTCTGGGGAGGGCTGCAGTGGCCACTCATCTCTCTGGTGATGCAGACATGCTGCTGAGCCTGGGGACACCCTCAGCCCAGAGAAAACTGCTCCATCCCAGAGCCTGGGGCCAGGGGTGAGCCTCAGCCCTCCCAGAGGCAGGGGAGCAGACAGCCTTCTCCAGGGCCATAAGGAGGAACAACAGTTGGGATTATTATCAGGAGAAACTCTGTCTTGGGGCCTGGACTCCTGCCGGGAGTGATGTTCCCATGCGTGGGAAGACCTGAAACAGAAAGTCTGGAAGCCTGGGTGTCATGTAGGGGACATGGCAGGATGGTGTCTGGAAACTGGGGTGCAATGGAGTAGCTATGGGGCTGGCAAGCTCTTTAAGGCTGGAGACAGGTAGAGTTATGGACTCCATTATGCTCTGCTTGCCCTCTCAGCCCTAGGCAGACAACCTGTGTCTGCCCGGTGATAGGCCCTCAGGTGGGAGCTGGGGGTGGTGCCCCTCCCCAGCAGTCAGCCAGTGGGCAGCAACTGCGTGCCAGGCTCTTTCTCCCAAGGCCCCCTTTCCCACCTCCTCCCTGCTGCTAGCTAATGACAGGGCTTTATTCTAGAGAACTGAATAGGCTAGTAATTGCAGCCCTACTTTCAGTCCCAGGGGCTCCCCTCCCTTTCAGGCTCTCAGTGACATGCTGAACAATGACCAGGGAGCTAGCCTCCTCCCAGCGTCAAGCAGAATTGCAGCCCATTTGTCTCCGTGGGTGGTAATGGGGTGGAGAGGAGGAAAATTGCCGTCTATTGTGGTGGGGGGACAAAAGAGGGGAGAGGTAAGAGGCGGCGGGGTGGGGTGGGGGGTTTAGGATGGGGAGGCGGAGCTGAGGAAGGGGCGGGGCTCGGGCAATGGGCAGAGGTGAGACAGGGTAGGCCGTGATGAGGAAGAGGCGGGGCTGAGTCTTGGGGAGGCGGAGCTGGGGAAGAGGCGGGGGCTGAGCACAGGTTGGGGGCCCTTGGGGGAGGGTGGAGAGACAATAACCCGTAACCCTGGAGAGTGATAGGGGATCTGGGAGTCTGGAGGCCGTCTGGGCTCTAGCTGACTGAACTGGCTCACTCCTGGTCCTTGCTCTTTCCTTCCCTCTCCACCCTTACTCCAAGATGGAAGAGACACAGATATTTATTGAACATAATATTTATTGAACATGCGAGGGACGCTGTGCTGAGCACACGCAATATTTTATCTCACTTAATTCTGTGAGATAGATGTTGTTCTCATTTACAGATAAGGAATCTGGGAAGGAGAGTAGTTGGGTATCTTGACAGGGACCGCTGCTAATCAATCCTGCAGTTGGAAGGGGAACCCACATCTAACTGCAAAATGCAACCTCTTTCCACGGAATCACTGCGAGAATTTTCTGAGTGCTTTTTTTTTTTTTTTAAGAGCTCAAGAAAAGTCTTTCCAGCCATTTCATTTGATTTTAAATAACATCTATTTTCTCTGATTACACGTTATACATGCTAGTTGTTGGAAATGTGAAAAATACAGAATATAAAGAAGAAAATAAAAATTGAATCCCATCATATAGAATTAACTGCTGTTAATATTTTAGTGTGCAGCCTCCTAGTGTTTTGTTTATCTATGCATTGAGTTTTACCTCCTCCCCCACACACAATAAAAAAAAATTTGTAGACGGCATTTCCACTTAGTGGACTAGTCCCTTCAGACAGCCTCCTATTCCAACCAGTCCTTCCCCTGAGTGAGGGGTGGGAGGACCACCCCACCCCTGCATCACATGTGGCTCACACTCTGCACCCCTGACCAGCCAGAGAAGGGCTTCTGCTCTGCTGGAGGCTGCATCCTGAGGAAGGGACACCCTTCCAAGAACAGCTGTCAGGAAGAGCCCTGCATTGGCATAGCCAGAGCCTCTCCCCCACTGGCTGTATCCGGCCTGAAGCATGATCAATGGACCAGCCAGTGTTTACTCAGCGATTATG